GATTCCCTCCCGCTGCGAGCCAAGAGCTCGGCCTGCGCTCAAGAGATCAAGACCCTTCATTAAATATCCAGTGTGTGACAAGAACAGGCTTTAAAACAATGGTTTAAAAAGAAAACAAAAGAAAATACAAATCTCTCCTCTCCTCCACCCGCAGAGGGGCCGGAGGGAGCTCACCGCTACGCTCTTCTCCAGCTCAGCCATAAACCATCCCGCAGGGCTCATGCCCGCGTCGGCAGGGAATCCACCTCGGCACCCGGCCTACCTCAGGACGGTGCCACAGTTTCGGGCCACCCTCGACTGGGTTTCTCTATTCCTGGCCCCACTGACTTCTCCTCCCCAGAGCCCACATGAAAAAAAAAACCAGGGAGGAGGTGAAGCATCTGCTGTGCAGCCCCTCCTCCCCATCCCCTGCCACCGTCTCACACACACATGCAAGCGTGCACACACACGATTATTTTCTTTTTTTTTTTTTTTAACCCAAGTGAACATGTCTCAAAAAAAAAAAAAAAAGAGAAAAATTAACATAAGCAGCACCACATTTCCCAAGTGTCAGGAGCTCCAGAGCTGGAGCAGAGGCCTGGAACACCCCCACATCAACAGAAACCAACCCCGCTTTGGCTGGGGGTCGGCCGATAAAGACGCTTCCGAGGGGACGGTGCTTTGCCGCTGGGACGCGAGGCGAGAAGGGGCCGGGGAGAAGGAAGGAGGGCAGTTCTGTCATTTACTGAAGGAGAGGAAATGGTGACAGAGGCAGATGTACTGACACCAGGCGGTCGGCTCGGCCCTCACATGGCAGCGCGGGTGGGCGTGCTGGGCTGGTTCAACCGCAGCGTTTTGCACAGCCAGCCGGCGAAATCCACCTCCTCCACTTCGGAGCGTTTGATGAAAGTGTGACTCTGAAAGCGAAGGGAAACAGAATTAGGAGCATCGCCGGCTGCTCCCCAGCTCCCAAAACCCAGCCCCAGGCCCACGCCGTGGGCTAGACCCCAGAGAGGCGAGAAGATCCCGGTGCTACAGCTCAGGCTGCGCTCAGGCGGCGAGAGCAGATTTTGAGAAAGTATTTGCTCCTTGCAGCCCTGTGGCTGGGATTTTAATCCATACTGGCCACATAGTTAACACACACGCATGGGAGCGAGGAAGATTTAAAGGAGAGCAGAGCCTGCACGGCCCCTGCCTGCGAGCAGACCAAAACTCTGCGCCGTACGGGCAGGCAGAGCCAGGTGCTGCAGCTCCTGCACTCCCCATGGTCCTCACTTGCCCCTGGATGGCAAACCCTGGGGGCAGAAGGTAACGGAGAAGCGCAGGCAGGACAGGACAACCTTGCCACGAGGGCACGGGGCCACAGGGACACCGGCCACCACCTTCGCAAGGGCTACGCAGGAGCACGCAGACGTAGCTCAGGGGCTCAGCACGATGCTGAGGAGTACAGCCAAGGTCAACATGGTTGAACTGGGCTCATAGAATGGTTTGGGTTGGAAGGGACCTTAAAGCTCATCTCGTTCCGCCCCCGCTGCCACGGGCAGGGACACCTTCCACCAGAGCAGGTTGCTCAAAGCCCTGTCCAGCCTGGCCTTGAACACTTCCAGGGAGGGGGCATCCACAGCTTCTCTGGGCAACCTCTTCCCGTGCCTCACCAGCCTCACAGAATTCCTCCCTAATATCTAATCTCAATATACCCTCTTTTCAGCTTAAAACTGCTACCCCTTGTCCTATGACTCCCCGATAAAGAGCCCCTCCCCATCTTTCCTGCAGTCCCCTTGAAGTAGTGGAAGGCTGCCATGAGGTCTCCCCGCAGCCTTCTCCTCTCTGGGCTGAACAACCCCAACTCCCTCAGCCTGCCCTTGCAGGGGAGGTGCTCCAGCCCCCGATCATCTTCAAGGCTTGAGCCGGCCCAGGTCTTTCCTACGCTGGGGACCTCAGAGCCGGACACAGTGCTGCAGGTGGGCTCTCACCAGAGCAGCGTAGAGGAGGAGAATCCCCTCCCTCGACCTGCCGGCCGCACTGCTTTCGATGCGGCCCAGGTTACGGTTGGCTTTCTGGGCTGCGAGCGCACGCTGCCGGCTCATATTCAGCCCGTATATTCACATTCATCTGCCCAGCTCAGGAGGCAAAGGTTTGTCCCGGGCACCTCCGCAGACACGGGACAGGCGGGTGGTTCCCATCCCGGGCTCTGCATGGGCTAGATACCATCACTGCCTTTGAATCAAAGGTGAGTGAGTCACTCCCTCTCCCAGGCTCTCTTTGGCTCGTCTTAAACTGCCCTGGGAGTTTCCAGCCTTTTGAGCAAGAGAGGCACAGAGAGCCGGGGCAGCAGTTTGCAGATTTGGTGCCACCCCACTGTAGAAAGAAAATTGCTCTGCCCACTTACCATCAGCATCTTCAGATCTGCCCGTTCTGCCGGATTTTTAATTAAGCTGAAATGAGAAGAACAAGAGAGCAAAACCAACACTGAGACGTTTCTTATGGGAAACTGGTTATCTGGCTGGAGAGGTCTCCAGCTTCACCGAAAGCCACTTGGCCTCCTGGCTGCTTTCCCCAGGAGCCTGGCAGCATGGAAACGGCTCCGAAAGCATCATCTCCAACAGCCCAGCTCCCAGGGAGAGCTGCAGGATCCGTCTCTTCTAGACCACGTGGATGAACTGCGCCCTGCAAACGGAGAACAGGACCTAACGCTTGGCAGTGCCATTTTTGTAATGTCCAATCTTTGTGATTTAATGGGAGCCGCAGCAGCATCCTCAGGTGTCCCCCCACCGCCTCAGAAGGTCTGGAAGCCGATGGTGCGTGCCTGGTGCCTGCGAGGCTGTGGGGTGACTCAGCCCCAGCAATCTGCTCCACCATCCCCCTGCCAGGCTCATATTTAGAAGGTGCTGGGATACTGCAAAGCATCACCACAAATAAACTGCTTTTATTTCAACCCTTCCCAAGGCAGGAGTTCCCAGCACAATGTGGGATCACACTGTAGCCAGGGAGAGAACACCTACAGAGCATGGAGAATAGAATCATAGAATCATTTAGGTTGGAAAAGACCTTTAAGAACATCCAGTCCAACCATAACCTAGCACTACCAAGTCCACCACTAAACCAATTAAGGGTGGAGTAGCAATTTTGTGTTTCCTGGCTTGGTGGCTGGATTATTTTTTAATGAAAGTAAAAACTAGGAATCATTATTGGGTTATGCTGAACGTTTTGGGGGGGAGCGGCAGCCTGCAGAGCTGTCCGTGAGTACGTACAGGCCATAAGATGAAACCCTTACCATTTATTTACAAACTCCTGGAAATCTTGCGTGAAAACTCCGTTCGGCAGCTTGGGAGGTGGCTGCAGAGAAAAGAAGGGTTTTCTGCATCACTGTGTGTTCATGGGTCAAAAAGCAGACTGTCACCTACAGTCTTTAAGGAGCTGCAGAAAAGCTGTGCTCTACAGCTATCCTCCTCCTCCTCCAAGCTGCCCTTTACGTCCCGGGAACTGCTCCCTGCCGTTTCCTACCCCGGCACCACACGCAGCTGGGGGGGACCCTACGCTGAATCACTGCCAAAGCTGGGAGAGCAAAATTGCAGCGTCACAATTCTGGACCCAACCTCGCAAATCCCAGCTCTGGCAACGCCTACGGCGGATGAAGCCGTTCCAGAAATGGTAACTGGGGGTCAACTCCTATCACCTTGAAAGGGGAAGCTGCTCTTTCCACTTGCTGGTGGGACGGACCCTACCTTGCAAGTCTGGTAGGACATTTCAGCCTGGGATTTTAGCACTGGTGACCCTCATTCAAAGGGTTTCATCTGAAAAAACGTGCACAACCTCAGCACTGGCATGTTCATCCTCTGCTGATCTAGGGAGGAGCACGTTTGAAATGGCCGGTTGCAGAAGGAGCAGGTCATTACAGCCAAGAGCTCCCCTCGCTGCTCTCCTCTTTCAAAGGTTTTATGAACTTCCCCCTGCAGAGCCTTATTCCAGAACCAGAGATACTTTTGCGATACAAAGAGATGGGAAGAGGAAACAGGGGAGAAGGAAAGGACATCGGTGCAGCTCAGAGGGGCTCTCTAGCAAAAAGCCCCTGTTCAAGCAAAGGTTTCGGAGCCCACCCTGACTCAGCAGAGTGGACACGACACTGTGCTACCTCAGGGAAGCCCAGCAGAGCCAACGGTAAAGAAATACCCACCTCATTAACTATATAATCCAGCAGTTCAAAGATGGCCATCGCGGGCCGGCTGTCCATCCCATGGCCTGAGTGATTAAGATGACAAAAACAGCGGTGAGAAGCTGTTCAGGACAGCAAGGGGCTTCGTTTCGTGCGAAAAGCACGCGTGCTGCGGGACTTTTGCTGGGAGAGGCAGAGGCAACCCCCTTGGGAACTGACTTGCGGTTAGAAAAATAATAACAAAGAGAAAACCAAAACGCATTCCGAAATTTCAGATTTCTTTCACCGTGCCTATAGTCCAGATTTATTTCCTAGCTTGGAGCATTTGGAGAGCACCAGACCATCTGCTGTGGCAGGCTGGCAGCGCTTCTAGAGCCTTCTGCTTCCAAGCAAATGGCTCAAGCAGAGCCTCCTTCAAACCCCAGTGCCAGTTTGGTACTTCTACGAGAGCTCCCAGCAAAGAAGTTCCCAAAAAGCTGTCCCTAGCTTGAAAGAAACCTGTTGGCAGCACGGACAGAGCCCGAGGAGCAACACGGGCTGTGGCAGTGTCCCCCAAAGCATCTCCTCCAAGGGGTTCACATCCCAAGAGCCTGCACCGTCCCCAGCACGGGGTGCTTTGCTGCGTGGCTTGAGCCTTCTTGTGGGACACAGCAGGGTCTGAAGGCAGATCAAACGAGCTCTTCAAAATCTTCATAGGCCCTGGTTGGCATCCTGAGAGCAATCTCCTCGCCTCCCCATGCAAGACCAGACTCCCGTCTGCGCTCACTAGGAATTACAAACCTCCGTGGTAGAGCAGATTCTGCTGGAGCATTGACACGGCTCCATCTGCTCTGCAAGAGGGGCCTCCCTAGAAACACTCACCTCCCCGCCACAACCTCCTCCAAAACGGCCTTTGGCTAACCCAGCCACACCGAACAAAACCCGAACCCTTCTCCCCCACATCTGCGTGCTGTTTCCAATGCATACGACAGCCCCTACCACTGATGGGGCGTCCTGGGGGCCTGGCCCGCGGCGAGATGCTGTGAGACTCTCCCTCTGCCCCGTCCACCACAGGACGGCCAAATATTGCTTCCAGTTCCTTGGAGTCTGGCGGGGGGATTGGGTACCTTCCGATAGACAGCTCCACTAATGACAGACCCATGCTCCAGATGTCGGACTGGACCGAGTAGTGGGTGCCCTGCAACCGTTCGGGCTGGAAGGAAAGACCAGAGACACACGCTGATGTAAAATATCAATGCGCAAAGTCATAAATATCACGCACTGAAATTAAATAGATGAGACTCGATATCCTGACGGCCTCTCCATCTCAGCTCTCCACCCCTCCAGGGAAAGGGCTGTCCCAAAGGGGTCACGTGCAAAGGGGATGTAAAAAAAAAAGCTCACGTGCAAACATAAAGCACTTGCATGCATCTTATCAACAGCTACAGTTGAGCAGCATTTACAGCTGCTTATACTTAGGAGCCCAGAGTACACAGTAGGAATCTCTTTCTCTGGATGCTGAAATCTAATGAACTCAATTCATTAATAAAAATTGGGGTTTTTTTCCTGCTCATTCCTGTTAATACCCAAGAGGAATTTGAGGAGCGCAAAATCCACTCTAGGCTCTTGTCATTGAAAGAAAAATAAAAATTAAAAATACGTAAGTCAACGCAAGTCATCCCTACTGGCAGCTTTGAGTCAGCTGTACAGACCCAGTGGCTGAGTGCAAAGGAGATATTATTTTTAAATAGCCACTGCCTAACTATAACTGTACTTGAATAACCATTCCGAAAATACGAGAGCAGCTCAGACCTAAGCACGGCAGCGTAACCTGATGGCTTCCCTAGCAACCCACCACTCGCTCCCAGCCACCTCCACGCACGGTGCGGGGAGAAGACCCCCACCCACCCTCTGCCTTTCAGCCGGCAGGACCTGGGCACTCGGAGCCAGCCAGAAGGTAATTTTATTGTTACGGGCGCTCTATCATCAGTTGAGCCAACGCCAATTATGATTCTCATTTAAAAGAGAGGCACAAGCAGGTCTTCCTGCAGTTCACTCTCACTGGCTGACTCCAATTCGGCTTTAATTTCCCATTAGCCTGTACCAAAACCCAGCTGCACTAAACTGGTTTTATCCCCATTTTGCCAGCAAGGGCACACGGTCAAAGCAGCAGAGGTGTGTGTACCAGCACCTGCATCCCCTCTGCACTCATTTTTTTGGACAGAGCTTTGCATGCGGAAAGAGATGTTTTTGAACCCGCAAACACTCGCCAAAATAAAATATGGAAGTATTTGTAGGATCCGAAACGTCTTTCCCTGCAAGTCCCTGTGCTTCCACGTGCACCACTGCTAGCCAGGCACAGGCTGGAGCACAGGACACCGACTCCTAGAGAGGATGCGGAGGGGTCTGCCTCTCCGGCCCAGGACAGTGCCTCGAAGCACTGGGCTCACCCCAGCGTGAGCCAGGAACGGGGCAGTCCGGATGAGGATGGAAACACAGAGCAAAACCGTGCGCGAGTTGGACACCACACGCTGATTCTGTAAGAGGTGAGTTGAACCCAAATTGTAGAAAAACCCAGCTGAAAGTTGAAAGGAACTTACAGACATGTAGGACCGAGTTCCCACAAAAGAGTTTGCCATGGAGTCAATGAGTTGACCGCTGACCCCAAAATCACACAGCTTAATCTCTCCTCGAGAATTAACCAGGATGTTAGAAGGCTTCACATCTGACAACAAAAGAGAGAAGAGTGTAAACACGACTCTAGGTAAAAATACAGGGCTCTTGTACCGCAGGCAGTTATTTTTAGGTTCTTCCTCTCACCTCTGTGCATGATTTGGTGCTTCTCTCTCAGATACGCCAAGCCTCTCAGAACCTAGAAGGAAACCAAAGACAGCAAGAGATCACAGCTGGGAAGGGAAGTGTCTTCCCTTCGGCAGGACATGTTGCATAAATTCCGGGTGCTGCCACACTGCAGCTTGGCGAGGAAAGCCGCCCCGTAGCATCCACGTGTTTCAGGGTTTGCAATTTATCACCGAGTCAATCACAGATGTTGGGTTAACCACTTCAGCAAGCTCCTCCCAAATCTTCTCCAGGAGAAGTCAACACCAGCCAGCGTAACACAAGGGGTTGGAGCTATAGACAGTGGTTGGGAATATGCTTTCCCCCTCCCCTCTTGCACACACCACCGCCTCTTGCCCTAGATCAGGTCAAGAAAGCACATATGGGGAAATGGAGAAAGCTTCCCAAGGCAACACAAGCATCGTTCCCAAACCACACCCAGCAAATCCCTTCTGGAAGCTCGCAGAGCCGCCGTAACTCACCGCTATACTGACTTTCCCCAAGATCTCCTCAGGAATTCTTTTGGCTTCTTTCAACACTTGATCCAAAGAGCCACCATCCTAAAATAAAGAACATCGAAATGACCAACATGCCAATCCCTGGCCGGAAAACAGAGCAGCTGGCTGTACAGGCAAGCATGCCCAGGGAGGGCAAGCGGTATATAAGCAGTACATAGCATCCCAGCTCAGCTGTCTGCCAGGACGCGGTATCGAGCACACTCCTTTTACAACAACAACAAAAAAACAGATATCTGGTGCTCTGAGCTCAAGCTTCTTCCTGAAAACTATTTTAGTGCTATCTTCTATCAGCTCTACTTCTTGCTATTAGTTCTTAGCTTCCTTTCCATCAGTGATAAATGCAAAGATGCTGTCAGTGCTGATCCGGAGGAGCGACAACACTGTTCTCTGCCAGAGACAACAAAAAATGCACACTGTGCTTCACAGTGGGTTTACAACATTTCCGTTTGGCCAACCCCCAAACCTCTCCTTCCGCTTTCCAAAAAGTCGATCTCTCTGTCATTTTGATGCCTAAGCAGGAGGATGCAGCTTCTACCAGGAGCACAGCAGCCTTCCCGCAGCCAGAGCAAGGAGCCGTCGTGGCTGCCAGCACCCTAAACCATTTCACCTGCAGTTTCAAGACTCAGGGAGATGCCACTCGGAACAGTCCAGGGAGCAGCAGTTTCCAGAGGAGGAACGGGGACTCACCATGTGCTCCATGCAGATGGAGATCTCTCCGTCGCTGTAGAAAGCTCCATAGAAACCCACAATATATGGGGAATTACACTCATGCAGCACCTGCAGCTCTCGGATAATCTGATTCCTGATGGCCGGTTTGATTTCTAAATGAATCAGCTGCCAAGAAAGAAAAAAAATATTGAAGATGTAACAACTAGGGGGAGAAAAAAAAAAAAAAAAAAAGACAAAACCACAATTTACAGGAACCACGTGAGGCAAGTCCTCAGTGTTGAAAAGAAACAAAGTCTTCCAGGATAGCTCTGCTTTGGCAGACTGTTCCCCATTTCCCAACTAATGTTAAGGATAAAGGGAGAGGTAGGGCCCTGTGCAGCCTGTTAGTGACTGAAGCAACTGCCGGCCACGTAACACGCAGAGATCGCACAGGACACAGAGCGGAAAGACAACTCAGAAGTTTGATGCAGATCTGACTCAGCAGACAGGAACATTTTCACAAGTTCTGTAGGTGTTGTAAGAAGAGGTGCTCTGATATCAAGGAAACCACAGAAAGTTAAGAAAAAAAAAAAAGTGAAGATTATGCATGTGAAAGAGCAGTTGCTTTATTCCTTGGGCTCCAGGTAGAGTCAGTTAACACAGCTGTGGGTAGGGAAGCCAGAGGCTAAAAAATAAGATGGCAGGTCAGAAAAAAAAGCCACTGCTACTGTAAGCTGTAGGGCACCCAACCCCAGGGATGTCTCTCCTTCCTGCAGACCTACAAAGGCTGGTCTCTGCAGGAAGGACAGCAGTGCTGAAGCTCGCCCTGGCCTCAGTTTCTAAACACGGAGCTCCCGACAATCTCAAGACCGCCCAGTGACACCCAACACTGCCAAGTCAAACGCCCTGGAAGACTCTGAGAGCTCAGCTCCGAGTGAAGCCGCCTAGAGAAGCAGATTTGCTCATGGAGATCCATGAAACTATCCCAACAACAGGCAAGACCAGAGACTTCCAAGGAAGCTGTCCTGCAGAGAGAGCCAGCCGCACTGCGTTCGACAAGCACTGCCTTTTCTAATAGGCAGACAAAGCATCTCCTAGTTTTCTATTATAGGACATTGCCCATAAACCCATGTCCAAGACGAATCGCTGTCACAGCTGCTTGGAACTACCTTGGGGATCTGTTAAGTGGGTGGTGAGGGGCGAGGAACATGTGCATCAAACTCCTGTCTGTGCAGGAACGGCCACCCATCCCTCCACCTGCCATTTCCAGTCCTCGTTAGCCACAACCCAGGATCCTCAAGAGATTTGCTTCTATCCAGTTTAGCAGAGTTGATTAAAAACAGCTTCACTGGAAAAAAGAGTAAATTTATGTTTCCACACAAGGTGCTCCAAACCCCGGGGACCTGTTGCAGACAGCGTGGCCCCTCCCCGGGGACTTGGAGACAGGCAGAGCAGCCAGGTCGCTCACAGAGATGAAGCAGGAGAGGTTCCACCTAAAACCTAGCTGGGGGCCACTGGGACTGCGGTCCCGACCCAGGAGAGGTGGTTAGGGTGCAGCTGGGTCACTGCAGAGAGACCCCAACCGAAGCCGGCTCTCCCAGGGCCGGGGCAAGCGCAGACGCTCCAGCACGGCACTGCAGCCCACTCCTCCTGCCCCCAATTACCTTCCGTGCCATAACGAGCCCTGAGGGTTTGTGCTGCACTTTGGTGACCACGCCGCCATTGCCAGCCCCCAATTCAGAGATCCTCTCAAAGTCATCGTCCTTCAGCTCGCCCACTTTGGCTTTCTGCGTGAGAAAAGCTTCCAGGCGCTTCTTCTGCTGCTCGTCCAGCTCCAGTTCCTCGAGCTTTTTCTGAAGGTCCACCAGGTTTGCCCTGGAGAGGGGAGGAAGAGACAGGAGGGACGGTCAGGAGACTGAGGGCAGTGCCAGAGAAAGAGGGGTTTTTTGTTTTTTAGGGAAGCAGAGGGAAAGAACTGAAAACCATTATCTGACACATACTCAGCCCCCGATATAGCAGCGAGACTAAAGCAAAGCTCTGGAGAGAGGCAGGGCTCAGCTCCAGCGCTGACAGGGTCACACGGACAGCGAGACCCATGGTGCAATATCTGCCCACCATGCACATCTCCTCTGGAGAGGAGCTTTAGTGCAGTCAGCTGGTTTTGGAAAGCCAAGGAGTAAGGAAAATCCTTCAGCCCTTAAAGAGGCAGCACAGCTCAGCCCGGAGAGAACGGCAGCGCCAGCAACCTCTCCCTCTCCCGACACAGGAAGCCAAGCTTGGGTTTTGCTGCGAAACACGAGAAGGGCTTTCCAGGGTGCCCAGCAACCCCCCTGCTCCATTACACGCCCCCCGCCACCCCCCAAACCCAAGCACAAAGGGGTGCCTGTGCTCCCCCAGCACCTGCTGCTGGGCTCCCACTGCCCGCGCAG